ATTCAGGAGCTGGCCAATTAGAGGCATGGACCAGATGTACACGACGAAACTTAAAAACCGATCACCACTCAACAACCGCAAGAATTAGCCGAACCTGTGGATACAAGTTTTACACGACCTAAATGATAAGAGAATACCCAAGGCAATAGAACGTTCTATGGATAAATAAGTAACAGTCAATACAATGTTTCCATAAAATGAAGTATGCAATCAGATTAGAATTCCTTACGCCAAATTTATGTCATACCTGAAGGAAACCTACAAACAGTGGCGCTAGTTTGAAAAGCATCATCCGAAGAGCTGCAAATATAGTTTGTCGATTTGCTCGTTTCGGGTGGCAGTCAAAACTGTTTCGCGAGGCACTTCCNTCCAGCCGCTGTGTCTACGCATCTGGTCTGATGAGCCCCATTCTTGAATCGGTCACTAGCCAGGACTCTCTTTGTACTGCATTCCATCACAGTATCATCGTCATGGTGCTTCATAAATAATGACAACCTAGGTGAGTGGATATAAGGAGCTCCGAACGACGTTAGAGAGTAAAAATAATGCCCACTGCGCTGCAGAAATTGATGATGACACCAAAGAATAATAGCCAATTCTATAATTTGGGGCTGTGAGCGATTTGATGTTTTGAAGGCCGGTCACCATCTTTTATTATACACCACTGGGAAGCGAACAACATAAGGGGTGAAAGCTCCAATTTGGGGACTAGCTGGCAACCGGAAACCTGAGACTTGGTGTAGTGAGTCACATAGAGCTTCCCATGCATAGGTCCCATTTGTTGTCGGACAAAGAGAAACTGAATTTCCTTATAAGTTTATCATCAAAAACTCCGGAACCTATAATTTAGCGTGAAATAATGTCGTAGTAATTGCTGCTCCTCTTCCCCTGTGTTTTGCATGCATTACCGACAATGAAGACTGAAGAACTACAGCCTTGTGAGTCGGAGTTCGTTCCGCGACTCAATCCAAGGCACTGAGACAGGCTTGCTTCCAACCTCGGCTGAAAACCTAAATATCGATTGGAAGTACTTATCGAGCCTAGTATCTTGTGCCTACTTCAACGGCTTATTCTGTTCGTGTATTGTACTCCTTAACATAAATTCAAATATAAACCCTCCCCCGGATGTGAATAATGCGATTTGTACTGCAACTGGTACAAAATCATATGATTACCTTAAATTTATTTATCTAATAGAATTATTCGTGTTTTTCTTTTCAAGGGAAACCGGCAGCTCCGCGTCATCTTCAGTTAACGTGTTCGAGTTCGAGCTTTCTGACTCCATTTGCTCGTCTTCAATGGCAACTTGGACCTCACAATAACCCTCCGGTAGATCACGCAGTTATTGAATTTGTGGCCGGCAGTTATCGACCATTGGCTTCAAACTTGGATCACTACCTCGCAGAACTGAACCGCAGCCGCAGTCAAGTTCCATCCGCAAACGCGAATGAGAATAGCTCAGTCAACGAGTTATCCCTCCAGTCGTTATGGATTCAAGAAACTATGCCGAGGGCAAGACAACTGGCCAAAAAATTAATTTTTACCAACCGCTGGTCACGTATACACCCGGTCAGTCCAACTATTATAGAGAAACATGTGACTAATCAACATGTTGCTGGTGTAGACGTAGATTCATCCATACTTATAGGTCAATCAGGTGAAATGGAACAGGCGTTTGTTAGTTTACACGCTGATGTAGTCTATCATTTTCGCGTTCGATTGGTTAATCGGATCGGACAATCGGAACCAAGTTTAGTCGTGCCGGAATTGGACGCTCAAACTGTGTGCCATCTTCCTCCTAAACCTGTCCACACAGTACCGAAGGAATTGTTTGTTTATGGAACACAACCGCACAATTTGCGCATTCGATATCCGGTAAGCTGAAGTTCCCCCTGCACGGAGATAATAACATGCTTCACGTTTTTAATATTCTACTTATAAGTAGTGTAATAACAAATTCGTAAAAATAAAAAGGAGCGGTTTACCAATTGCCTCAAAACGTTTAGTCATTGAACCAATGAATCAATGACTTATCTTGTCCTTGGTCGTAGCGATTTTTTCAGGGTGTTAGGAATCTTGAACATAGAGCACAGTACTGCAGGGAAGTACGATTTAATTCCGGAATTATTAATTACACCTCTGCGTGAGCTTACTGCAGAATACAAAATTGTTTATATATCAAATGTGTTGAAAGCTAACATGATATCAATTTACTCTTCTTCTTAAGCGGTTACCGGTATAATGCCAGTCTTATTTAGGTATCCTTTTGTTGAAACAGCAGGGGTTTTCGGCGCTTGTTAGTTAAGCCTTTTGCAAATATTAGCAGCCATTCACTCACGTTTGTATAAACAACGTGAAAAGTAGTCTCGCGCTAGGCCTAATGGCCCGTCTGCAAGAAGTGCCGAACAATGGACAACACAGACGTTCTGTGCAGCTGGCTTGATGGACTGGTTTTTTGTGTAGCCCCTATTCGGATCCGTCACGTTCGACCCATGCTGGTATGAGTTCTACCATCGCGTATGCAGTAGCCATAGACGACGTGCAATTTGGTTGACAAACTGGTGATTTCATCAAGAGCTTCGGAATCTGGGATTCTGGTTAAACAAATTATGTTACCACGTTCATTTTGTACTCACGCTTCTTGTCAAACATGAAGAGCACAAGGTTATTCATAGCATACGCTCACTTATTCCACCCACCTACTTCCGATCGCACTACAGCCTCTTCCACCGATTGAACACAATGGGCCCGGTCTAATCTACAAGCTGTGGATCACATGTTTGGACTGCCAGTTGGGCCCAAACAAGCCGCTATCGAATCTAACGGTGGTCACCGATTGGTCCGTAGGTGATTTGGAATTAGAATTGCTGACCACCAGGGAACTGATTGGTCGTGAACAGTTCGAACGTGTTCGGCATTGGCAAATTGAAACATTTCGCACTTACGAGGTAAGCACCGGAAGCTCCTGGAGGGGCGTTGTAAAATAACCGTGATTCGTATATTTTTCCTGGTCTCTGGAGAACAATTGTCTAAAATGGTTCCCATATCGCTCTTCACCCGCCCCCGCCCCTCCACTAAACCTACCTAAATCGGATCATACATTCCAGCCCCTGTGCACTCCGCTCAAGGTGTTATTACTTTCGATAAACTCTATCGTTCCGCGTATAAGGAAAATTTGAAAGAAATTAATTGGTTTCTTCTTTCATAACGACACAAACAGTTGATTGGTTAAATGATTGGTTTCGTGATTTGATGGATAATGTTGAAATATCACGAGTTCCAAACTGGTTTGATTTGAACCTCATCGCATCTCTGATGTATTCCCCGCATTGCCTCACAGTAGACGCTTCCTCGGTATTAGGTCCGCTATGCACCAGACCTTGACGAATGAACAAAAGCCGTAATTATTGACTGGATTTGTAGATTAGTATAGAGAATAAAACCGGTGGCCGATACTGTGCCTAACAGGAGCATATCGGTGTGGAATCACAACCTGTAGAACATCATCCAGGTCTAATAAGCAAGGTCTCATCCTGTTTATTGATATTTTGAGAAATAGGCAAAACGTTATTCCTATATTTTCTCAACTCCTTCCAGTGAATGAAGCACAAATGCTAAACGGTTTGCCACACTTTTCGTTTTGAAATAAACAAGGAGTACAACTTGAGTCAAACTCATGTGCCCGTCTTTTTAATCTACTTTCCTTACGTACACGACAACATTAAATGATTTAATTTGATTATGACGTTGTTTTGTCGTGTGAGACGTCCAAACTACAGTGTATTAGTATTCAATAATATCTCACACTATTCGATCAGGTGTAACCCGTTTATATTTGATTTAGGTAGCAATGCCTAATCAGCACAGACCCTCCGTTGATATTTTTAATCTTTCTTGTGAACCAGACACAACAGTAGTAACCATAATTTTAATAATAATATAACTAACAATCAATCACTGTAGGCGACGCATTCGCAACAATGATATTCTCTCGAATTAGGTGCAATCATTAAAAACCACTTCCTTTGTTCCCTGTCCGAAAGGTAAACTTGACCACGGAAAACATGTTCGGATCCACCGTATCTGTTCCACTGACACGAACCGGTCAATCCGGGGAGGGAATACCCACCGTGGTGTTGGACGCTCCAAGGCCAATCTCTGTTGGTGCACAGAATGCCACTCTGACTTGGCGCAGGCTTACTCGGATCGAGATGGAACAGAAGATTTTAGGGCATTTTCGAGGATTTCGTGTTGAATGGTGCGAGGCCCAGCTGACGGAAGAGTTGTGCAACTTTTACAAAGCCCATCAGGTAGTCCCATAAGCTGATGTGATATTTCGTTTTAGTGCGATTCAATTCAGATTGCAATCACCTTGCCTCTGTGGGCACGTGCGCAAAAGTGAATTGAGACAAGTATCGTACCGTCTCTCAAAATTCGACAGTTGAAAGTTGTTTGTAGTTGTCTTTATTTCTCGGTCTTGCCTGGCTACCGACTTTGTGAAATATCTCATGGTCAATTAATCTATTCCTAGGTCAGAGGCTGTCAGATTTCCAGGGAGATAAGAACTGATTTCACGAAGGGCTTAACCGGAGCCTTTTGGTAGGCGACGCCTTGCTCGTAATGCAGCACGGTGGTATGCAAATACCACAGCCCCTTAGGAACCAGTGTTTATTGAGTTAGATGTTATACACTTATGATATTTTGCAAACTTCGAGGGTATCTTATAAGTTATGCAGGTGAATAAAGCCAATTACGATTACGTCAAGGATCCCAACGAGCTCTTTCACACTGGTCTCTTTGAGGGGTTTACAATCAGGGTGTTACAGCTTCACGAGATGGTCTAGGTACTCGTGGCCAAGTAGCCCGGCTATGTCCTCGGGTTGGATTTGCGCTATAACATTTGAGTGCGAGTATACAAGAATTTAGAAAATATAATTCTCAAGCAGGCACATAGCTTGCTTACATTTTTAGGAAGGGGCTTCAACCATCCTCACAAATTGAGGCTCTTGAGCGACCGCGGTATCGCATACGTTCATATTTCTCAATATTACCGAATTGGCCATCACTTAGAACACAACATTCTAATCGGCCTAACAACCTGAATTATTTAGCTATCTAATCAAAAATCAGAAAAGTACTTTTCATTACATAAGTATCACTTACCTTGAACTCGACATGTTCAAAATCCAATAAAAGGATTTACTGGTCATTTGTGTTGTTAATTAGGGTTGAAAACTGAACACCGCGGTGTGTCAACGGTGGAGAAACAACCAGAATCATCTATCATAATGTTTTTTGGCATACGACGTTCCAAAATGTAGATAAGGGGTGCGGTTGTCGCATTTTTAAAGAATCTCAGTATACAACATAGAGAAAAACGTAACACTTGTTACCATTACTGGGAGTTGGGCTTCAAGGGCTTGCGAAGGCAACCTGGGACTGGGAGAGGGAGACTAGCCATTCCAGCGGGAGTTACGTGCGATATTTGTGGTGTAATTGAACCAGGTGGTCTACTGTGAGGTGATAGAACGGTTTGCTACTGCTCAATGTGATGTTGATCTTACCCTGTGTAATGTCGTCACTAGCTGATGTGCCAATTGTCGATTGAACTGCCCTGAGAACATCGAATTATCACCAAGTTTGTCGTTCATGTCTGATCTGTTCGATGCATATCACAGGTGGTTCAAGAACAACTGAATATCACAACCACGTTTAGTGTGAACTGCATGAAACCCTTGTTAGGGCTTGTCCCGGTTATTATAGTGATGTTTGGAGTAGCCGGTTTCGGCACATCACAACATGAAAGCTAAACGCAGCTGCTGACCTCTAAATTCCCGTTATGGATGATGCAAATGATGCGTGAATCTCAATGTAAGAACAAATTACTGAGAAAAGTTTGAGGAGTATCAGTGTTTTGGGAGGCACTATATGGCACATATAAACGTACATTGTCTTGATTTTCGTTTTCAGGATTAGGATCGACGGAGGCACCGCGGGATTGTATTGCAACGGTGGATGATACGTATGTGTTAAGTGCTTGGTTAGGACATCCAGTATCCGTTGGCGCGGGCAGTTTATCTGAAACCGAGAATCATATATGCAATAGGCTTTCAAAGGGTATCATTAATATAAGCTGCCAAGGTTTTGGGCTAACTGCCAGGGGTTCATCAACCAGGTTATACAGCAGCATATTGGTAGGAGAACCATTCCTCCACCGAGGGGTGCAAGTAGGGCTTCCTAACCAGAGGCTATTTGAGAAGCTCAGTCGTATAGGAATTTTTCGCGAAGTGTAGAAGGGTGACCAGTCAACTGTGATTTTAAAACGAACCGAGAAGAGGCTGTCGAATCACAAATACGCCTTGCTGGTTGTGGAGATGGTCATCGACTCGATTGCATATTGAGGTGTATTGGACACTTTGACCCGTTCCGGACGGTGAATGACCCGATGAACTGGACACTGACCCCAAATGGATAGTGATTTACACAAACTGCCCCGCGCCCCTGCGGGTGAGGCTTTGGCTAGCCGAGGAATCTGGTTAAGAATTCCCAAGAAACTTCAACTTCTTTGGCGTTGGAAACATAAGAGTATCGTATCCACCATGTAATTCTTTTTTATAAACATCACTGTACTATGATTTGTTTAACACAGTCTAAACTCAGTTGGGTGTGAAATGAGTGTTTCCATATATATGTATATATATATATATCATAATCAGTAGTATTTGGATGACTGGACAAAATTTCCCTGGAAGCACACGACCGATTTCGCGGTTCTTGCCGCTCGTCAAGCATGCGTATCCGGTAGCCTTTTGTCGCTTCATATATATATATATATATATAAAAGCTGAATGTCCGACATAAAATTCGCGTTGAGTTTCGTTAAGTTTATAGTATTTCTATCGAAAATGCCAGTCATGGAGGAGCGATTCGAACAAACACCCATAGGGCGCAGTCTTTACTACAAACAGATTAAGGGTTAGGCTTTCGGAAGTTACCGATGGCTTTAAAGGACTAGCAATAAAATCAAATTACTGCCCGAGAAAATACAGGCACTCAAAAAAGATTTCCCTCTCCAAACTTGAAGCTCCAGCTGCGATCACTCATTGCGGCTGGTTGGTTTGACGCTGGATTTGGTTGATTTTGACTGATAAGGCTGGAGATCTATTCCAAATATTGATTACCACAGCGGTATTTTAATGTGGAAGGAGTTTCAGATGGTGATCGGTGAGTTCAGAGGAAGCTCAATGAACCAAAACGTTACTGGGCAACGCCAAAGTCGTATAAGTAAATCAATGTAATTAATCTACTGGTGTAACGGTTATCATTGCCTCATTATGACAATCCTTTGAAGTTGCTAGCGCATTCATAAGGGAATTACTTCATAGATGGTTGGTGCTTCGTTTTATCGAATTATATGTTCTTTCGATAGTTTGTGTGAATAAAACCTAATTTAAACAAAGATTTCGAAGTTAGATTTTTATTTAACAAACAAAACATTTATAGGACTACATAGTGAAAGCGCCACCGGTTTGGAGTGTACCCGAACTTCGAACTTCCGGACTGGCGCGGAGCAGGCCGATCACGGTTGACTCAGACGAAAGGGAAACAGAGGGAAAACGCGATCCAGCGACGGATAGTCATGAAATTTCGCGACCCCAAGAACCGGAAGTTCTACTTGAACCGGATATTCAAAGTCGGTCCCAAGTGGAGAATAACTCCATTGCCCTGATTGATGGGTCCTATGTGGCTGAGTTGACCGGTTTACCGGGAAAAATGCGAATTAAAGCATGGCTTCGCGTGTTGAACATCCAGTACTCCGGTCCAGCAAGGTAAGCGCTCAGATACAAAAATTATCTTTATGTCCCACGTGAGTGAATATTAGAGACAGAGAGACATGTAGACACAATCAGTAATGAAGTTAGCCAAGTCGTAGGAGAATAAGGCCAACAAATGCCCTGGCAATATTGACCAACAACACTGTAGCTCCGGGATACGGTTTCCAATCTAAACCGGAAGTGCTATGAGAAAGTTGTTGAACTATTACTATAACGGATAACCCGGAGTTCAATCGTTTTGCATGTTTTATGTTTTGTCCGGGTATTACGCGGAGGCATTGGAAAAATTGGGTCAAATCATCCGGTTTAAATTCCACGCTTGTTGAACCGGTTAACGTATATGAATAGAATTTCCTCATTACTCTCTTTTCTGTACTGTTCATCGAATCTGAAATCGGTAGAATTACGTCATGCGTTAGCATGTATCTGATATGCTCCAGGATGGAAACGGTTACGTCATCACAACTTGACAGACCATGGATGTTTTATTCATTACATTTTGGGAAAAAATGTTGAGTAGTGGAATCATTGATGGATGGAGTTTGCTTTTGGTGTTTCACAAACAGAAAATATCGAAAACCAAGATACTGTTGACCGAACTTTATTAAAGCCACACGAACATTTCTCGATGAACTGGACACTTTGAATCAGCTGACGTTTTGAAGTATCTGGGCTTTACAATCAGACCAGACGACTAGGATGAGAATGAAATTTATTTTCGCTTGTATGTAGATAGTCTTTCAACAACTCCCCAGACCTCTGCAGAACTGATGCTATATAAGCCTACACACTAAGCTTCGGGTTTACCAGGCTTCAATCCACCTCATCCTCACCAATTATTGTGAAACATGGCCGAGAAAAATAGAAGCTATGATCAAGCTTGAGGTCTTTGACCACTAACACTTAGGTTACAGCTAGAAAGTTAATCGGAGTGATCATGCTTCTATTGTTGAGGTTTGCGGGCACTGTACGAAAATGAACAAGCATTCCTGAATGCTTTTAGTGGTTCCGACATATGCTCCGAAGCTCCGTGGTTCGATTCTCGCGAAAGACTCCAGTTCGTGTACCACTTTTTGCGCAGTTTGTGTTAGAGCACGTATTGCATCATACGAATCACCTGTGACGGTGCAACTGGAATTTTTCCTTTTCGATTCCAAGTCAACTTTTTTTACCAATAATGAGGTCACATGATTGATTGTGTGTTTGTGAATTCTAAAACGCTAGACATGTCAACCAAATTTCCGACAGTATTTGTAGTGTTTATCCAGAACAACAAAAGGGAGGATTTAGTAAGTCTGTTAAAGGGAAACACATTAAACCCAGGGGTATTTAAAATAATGATTCAGAACTCATTTGACTTATGTCAAAATCACAATTCTATTAGTGATTATAGTTATTTGTATACATCACTTGTCTGATTTTTTATATACTCCCTTCTTTCGTATAACATGTTAACGGGTCCACGACAGCGATCCGGTGATTTTTGTCACCAACGAAGGTGTACCTGAGGCCGTGCCGGAAATTGTCCCCACATTTGTCGGAGTGACGCACGTGGAGTTGTCTTGGGTGAAACCGTTGAAAACCAACGGGGATTTGGTGGCGTATGACCTCGAGGTGAGGCAAGGTAAGTCAATCGATTGATGTTTGATGGGGCTTCCAATAGGAAGATTGAGAGAAGAAAACCCAAATGGATCTAGGCGTTAGAATATTATTAGGACCCTATTGTCTTAGCTCTTTTCACTACTCATGTTAAGAAAGTAGTAAATCTCATATCCGATCGTCTCCGAAACAATAAGCTTTCCTTTGAACTTTACAATATGTAAATTGCAAAAATTAGGTGGCTGTCAGAGAAACAAGAGAGACGAAGAAGGCTGCGGTTATGGATAATAGTCACAATCTTTATCGTTTATTCAGGAATGCGAGCTCAAGGAAAGTAGACCTAAGAAAGATAATTAAGTAGTCTGACAGCACACAGAATCATATTCAGCTATGTACTCCTGAACGATGGGTAGAACATTTGAACAAAGTTCAGCTGGCTCCCAGAAACAAAAAACCTCCCTATCGCATCACCCTAACCGTGGTTTTCTTTGGTTTAGCGTCAAAACCGCAACGTTTAAAATTGCTTGAAACGGATCTGACTCGGAACAACTTGAACGCTAAACCGAATCCAGTCAGTGCCAAAACGGATCAAGTGAGTACCGAAACAGAAGTCAAACGAAAAACAATCAATGACCCAGAACAACTGGCGACAAGAATTTCCGGTTTACGCATGGATANGCATGGATACCGAGTACGACATCACAATTTGGCCGAGAACAAAAGCCGGTCGGGGTGACAAGGCTGAGCTCAGAATCCGAACGGCACAGTTAACACGAAGTAAGAATTTTGACAGCAATAATAATACAGGTATTATCCTATCATGTCGCATACCGTCGATGATTTAAAATGATTATTTACAGGATCATTGGTTGATCACGTTAATCAGCGCTGCTCACCTAATTTGGTGGAAACCAGTGCGTAGGACAGTCGTGGCAAAATATAAAGGAACTGTAAAGACTACTGTTGAATGTTATCTTATTAGTATGCCTATTCGTAATCTGGTTCAGTGAAGCGGTATTCAATCGAAGATATCCACGTATTTGAGGATGCTTTAAAGCTTACCATGAGAACAGTGCACCTGACCTTTGAACTTACTGAATGCTATCCTAACTTCAAAACTTTCCTTGGAAAGTATTTTCAACCCACATACCGAATTTGAGTGCAAATATCACCTCATTTTTTTATATTCTGATGTGTAATTGGGTTTCTGGCTTAACTAGAGAAAAAAATATGGGCTCGCGTTCTCTTCGTTTCACAATTCCTGACCAGCATTGCAATTCTACTGACACAGAGCAACAGTCTGGTGGTATTCAGTCAAACATTTGTGAGTCATCGTTTTATTTTGAAGAATCAGATCGCCTCACAATCGATCGACCGGAATTCTTAACCTAGTTAGGGTGGGCCATCAGTACTATGTGAAGTGTGGAGACACATGTGATTCAGATGTCACACTGAAAATGTTGATATCACGAAACCCTCCCAACCTTTATTAGTCATGATAAGAACACAACTCTCGGACCCACTTCCAATTAGGTTCCGAAATGTCTGAGTGTAGAAAATGTTGCAGTTATGACGGACGATGTTTCCTCACCAATGGCCAATATACCGTGCTATAACCGGGTTGATGAGCGACTGGCAGTTCACCTGATTCCGAATTACTGACGAAGAAGTGTACGAACCACGCACACCTTGATTGTGGTGGTGTTCACAGGCTCGATCGGGCTTGGACTTTGGACGTTTGACTCCGTTCAAGGGGCATATGATCCAACGATCTGGATACCGGCCTCCTATGGACTGTGGAATATGAGCTCCATTCAGTTGTCTTACAGATCTGGTTTTCCAATTAAAGGTTTCGCTTAAGGACCTCGAGGTTTTCGAGGTTATCAACAAAGCAATGACATTTTCAGTGGAGTTAAAATCTATGGTTCAGGGTTCAGTCAGGTTGCTTGTAAACCACCAACAGTACTTGATTGAGACTTGTAGTTGTTGTTGTTGTTGTTGTTTAAGATGTCTGCTGAGGGTCAGAAACGTACAAAACCTAGTTTGTTCCTTCAAACTTACTGAGAACTATTGCGACGAACCGTTATTGAATCAATGTGATAAGTTTTCTTATTTTGCAATGTATATTAATTTCGACAAAATTCAATTTTGGTCCTATTTCTGAGGCTGGTCATTTACTTTGAGTTGTGAATAGTATGTACAATACTACTGAATGCTTTGTGCAACTGTACAGCTCGCAAAACGTTTTTATTCCTTTTAATTTTGGCAAACTTTCTGATCTAATTTCCGTCCCATCCAATGCTACTTTACCCGAAACAGGTGCCGAGATATCTCCGTTTCTGGTCAACAGTGTACCGAACAGTCCAAATTCGGTCAATATCTGTTTGGCTCGGTCGTTGAATTTTCCCACGCCAACACCTCCAATGAGCGAAAGTCAGGTTGACCGAGAAGTCAGTGAGTCTCGAATGGGACCTAGCCCATCGGCCACACTGGATCCGGAAGCGATTCACGGTCCATGGCAAAATGAACAAGTGTTCACAACGTCAAACACAGTGACCACCGGTGCTAGACACTCACTTCTACCACCCCCATCATCCACGGCTCCATCAGTCACAACCGAGGTGGAATCCGACATGTTCTACGCACAGTTTCGCACTGTGGGCGACGAGTACTGGGAGGAAACGCAACGCGAATTTCAAAAACCTTGGATTATCCTGAGTAATTTGCTACCAAGTGAGTCTCAGTTGCATTCTGGGGCAAATGTGTGATTACCAAATCATGAACTGAAAAAAGCTAGCTCTACCAGCTCGTGGGTATTTTCATACCAAACAGGGTTTGCCTTATATTCACTCTCAAGAATTGTCCGCAAAATTTCGTGTGTTTACTGTGGAACATCAAGGAAGTTAGTTTATCACCATCGAGATAAATATCGCGGCTTTAGGCTTCTTAACGTAGAACCCACTGCATCAGTGCCAAAAGTGTGATTGTCATGTAAAGTAACGCAGCGGCTCGTTTCTTACTGTTCCGAGTACGATGAGACTTCTACAAAGTGTGATAAGTAAGATAACTATTTTACTTTTTTGGTATAACAAACAAGTTGCTGTCATTTGCTAAAATTGAAGGTATCGAAAACGTATATTGTCTACGTGGATGCTCGAATGATCTGGCCCATTTTGTTACACGTCGGTGCGTAGAACGCATTCGATCAGCTTGGTGATTGAGTTATTTTTGATTGTCAGTTCTGAGACTTACTATCAGGGGATTTACTTAACCGGAAGTACACCGCTGAGTAGCAATTCCAGCCGTGGCTCTTTTGAAATTTTACGCGATGAACCGTATCAGACTGTCGATTGTGATTACAACTCCCAGGACCATTCACCAACATGCAGAGACAGGGAATAATAGACCAGTAGGACACGGTTTGTCCCATTACCATTCCTGTCGTCTAGTCCGAAGGAAATAAAACTTGGTAAGTGGAAAAAGCGATAAGATAGACACTGTTGAACGCCATATTCTTTATTGCATCACGTACACCAATAGAATGATCTGCTCGATGGCGATCGTTTGATTGACAATTAACCCGGCAGTCTGAAATCATGGACTGAGAATTAAGTCACACACGCTTTCAGGTGCCTTTAGATTCGAGATTTTAGAATGATCACTCACTGGTTATTTTCTATTCCTGGTATAACTTGATCAACAGTTTTCAATAATTTGCTATTCACTTGTTTTAGATGAGACCGGTTGTTTATGGAGGAACAATATAACTGTTTTATATGATTGGTGTGCAGTCCAAGCAAATTGTAACCACCGGGGTTAGGACTGTCTGAGCTCGTAACTGTGATGCTGTTTCTAAATCGTTCCCCCTAAGCCACACAAGCCACACGAGCATTTCATCGATCGGTATTATGGAAACGATGTTCGTTAATTGGACGAATGGTATTTTTCAAAGTGTGGAAGTTTATCCGACTTATTGAATGAAAATCGTCACACGGTAAATATTGTCACCCGAAACATTTGTTTACTAAACGTTTGTGTTACCCAAATTTCAGATTATATTGGCAAATATGTTGTGTGCAAAGACCTCCTTACACAAACGTTCCCATGTTCCAATATCCCCGTTTTCTCAGATCACGAATACGAGATCCGAGTGGTGTTAGTTACTGCTTCAGGCGAGTCGACT